GCCTGCAAAAATAACATTCTAGGTCAGCTGTCCTTGCTCTATCCAGCGGAGGCCTTGCCATTCCGCGGAATGGTGCATTCTGCATCCTCTCTCCCGACCTTTGACCTCTTCTTTCATCTCTAGCTGTATGTTGCTGCCCTTGACCTTCAGCGTCCTTCACGATCCTAACCATTTCTTGTCTCAGGCTTCTCATCCCTTCTCGCATCTCTTCTCGTAGGCTTGACACTGGATCTTGTTGCATTGCAGCTCGTATATAAGTGCCTCCACCNTCTGGCGACTCTTGCAGCGACTACGGCACGATATTCGAGCAGGAAATGCAGCGGCAGCAGCAGGAGGGAGCATTTGACTTGACGAACTTCGGTGCGCCGGCAGAGGTCGCTTTCGCGTCCGCGTACGTGTGCGAGGAGGGAACGATCGACACTGGAAGCAACGCCGTCTGCAGTAAGTGTCTGTAAACACACGCACACACACACGCGCACGCACGCACGCACATGCACCCCTTTCTTTCTCTCTCTCTCTCTCTCATCCTCTTATCTCCTCCTCTCTCCTCTTCTCCTCTCTCCTCTCTCTCCTCTCTCAGGCTTATCTCTTCTCCAGCCTCCGCCGGGTCTCTCTTCTGCGTCTCTCTCGCTTTTCTCTCGCCCTCACTCTCAATCTTTCCCCATCTATCTCGCCTCGTCATCGTCCGTCTTTCTTTTCTTTCTCTTTCTTCCGCTCTCGGTCTCTCTCGTGTTTCCACAGCACACACAGCACCGGTGGAAGAGGGGCACAGGCACATCACACGACCACAGATGGCAGGGGCCGTCGCGCGGGCCGTCCGGCCCCGCCCGGCGGGCCCGCGCGCCCGCGCCGCCGGCCCCGCGCACCGATCAGCACACAGCAGCGGGACGGGCAAGAGGGGCATTGTCTGGGTTTTTGGTCGGGCCGCGCGGCCCCGCGCGGCGCCAAAACCCCCCCCCCCCGCCGCCGCCGCCGCCCGCCGCCCCGCCGCCCCCCCGGCCCGCCCCGCCCGCCCCCGGCGACAGGCCCCAGGGCGCCCCCGCCTTTATTTTTTGAAGGCGAAAAAGGTTTTGGTTTGGCCCGCCCCGCCCCCGCGGCGCCCCCGTCTCCTGTAGCATTACTACGACCGCATGATTTCAGATGGCGACCTCCGTTCGAATGAGGCGCCTCCCTTCCGACTGTTTTAACCTCCCCCCTTTTCAACCACTTTCCAGGCTTTCTCTGCGCACACACAGTGCAGTACTGGCACCATCTCTTGATTCCTCGGTAGAGTGGCCAGTAAACCGATGCTGAATGCTGGGACTCTACTCCAGCTCTCCCCTAATGATGTCCTGCCTGTACGATGGTAATGTAGCTGCTGAAATATTCTCTTTTTAATTCCTTAGTATCACCTGAGCTGAAGAGGGATGAGTCGCGTACGCCAGCGTCTCCATCGTCTATACAATTTACCTTCCTGCACTTCTAATCTGACATCCACCTAGCCCCAGTACGACTTCGCCCCGACCCATTCCTGCAATGCTCTACAAACCAGGTCTCCCCAACGCCAGCTTCTTTCGCGTTCCTTGAAGAAAACGATTACAGGGTCCTATCCTGTAACCATGCGCAATATTTTCCGGTTCCATACATCCAGGCTCCCCTTGAGCCGTCGGGTATTCCTTCCTCACGCGCTCCCTCACCGCTCTCCTCGTCACTGCAGCACCCTGCCCACGCTGCTCCTTATCCAGCACATGAAGAACCGTCCTCTCCTCCCATTACGACTGGGTGGTTTCATACTCCATGTCGGATCTCTCGTCCTCTACTCGCAGCTGGTGATTCCTGCGCTAGCTCCTCTCGCTCGTCTATCTTCCTCCGACGCGGCCGGTTTCCTCTTGCCCCTGATTGGCACTCCCATCGCTGGTCGGCATACCGCTCACATCATTCCATGCCTGCGGCAGGGGCACCGGGCATTCTCGTCGGCATTTACCTATGTGTTTCGTGATAACCGCATCCCATTCATGATGATGCTGTCTCGCGCTGTCTCCCACACTCTCCTCCACTGGTTTGATCCCCGACGCACCGCTGATCCCCTTCCCGACACCCCAACAAGGTACCTCTTCCCTGTTGGGAGATCAACCAAGGGTACGTTATCACATGCCCTTGGGAATACCGTCTGCTCCATCCGAATGCCGCTTGTGTCTCCAGCTTCTGAAATCTGGATAGGCATTAGCTTTACCCTGCCTTCCCTTTTGATACCATTATCGTCTGCATAAGTCCATCGGCAGGATTCGTATGCTCTCCGCTGCTTCAGCATCGTCGCTCATCCACGTATACTGCGGTCTAGCACATTCTCTCCTCCTGTCCAAAAATCCTTGAATTACTTTCCCGTCAAGTGATAGCATTCCTGTAGTCATGTTCAGGATAGCGTTGTTCGGTGACGAGAAAATCGGTCCCAAAATCCCAATCTAAATCCTCTAAATGATGGCAATAACCATTGTCTTTCCTATTGTAGGTATTATCGGCGATTTCTAGACGGACAACAGCTCCTCCGGAACTATCCATTGCTTCGCGCGTTCGCCATCTCAAGATCTCTCTTTCTTCGTTAATCAGCTGTAGCCCTGTACGTGCCTTTGATGTCATTGAACCTATCCCTCATGTATCAGCGTCGTACTTGCTCGCACTGTCGATTAGAAAAGTTCAAATTTTAACATCCCTCTACTTCAACAGTACACCCACCGTGGATGACACCTGCAATGGTGGCCCGGAGATGAATAGGTAATCCGTGTGGGCCTTAGCGCTGCCTAAAACATTTTCATCTTTTATCGTATTTAATCCCATACGTGTTCCCCTGCATCCTACGCACTTCTCCTCTTGCCCTGCTGAGAGAGTGTGAAGCCAGTAGATCGTGGTGTACCTCGCCTCAGTCGGCTTACATGGACGCCAGGCTCTCGACTCTTTCCTAGCGCCGTCCTAGTTAACGGTAACTAGATGGCGTCCTGTCGCGTTGGCGATTATGCGAAACGTTCTGCTGTATTGCGACGTCGGCGGGCAACTCTCATCTGCATGGGTCGCGTTCTCCTGCAAACATAACATTCTATGTCAGCTGTCCTTGCTGTTATCCTAGTGGAGGCTTGCCATTGCCGCGAAATGGTCGCATTCTTGGCAATGCCCTCATCTCGCCGACCTTCTGGACCTTCTTCTTTCAACTCTACTGTATGTTGCTCGCCCTTCGAACGGCTTCCAGCGGTCCTTCACCGATCCTAACCATTCTTGTCTCAGGCCTTCTCATCCCTCCGCATACTCTTCTTCGTAGCTTGACACTGATCTTGTGCATTGGGGCAGCTGCGATATAATGCCTTCCACTGGTGGGGTTTCTCTATGCGATTCATCGCGTCTCCACCCTGGTAACTGCTCAAATTGTGTCCCCGCCACTGCGATTACCGCCTCAGTCTAGCGTGCTTGGTCCCTGCAAGAGTGCAATAACTTAGTCTCGCCACTCCATTCCGTCCAGGTACCTATCTACAAGATCTGCTCCGTCTGAGGCCCGCAATCATGCAGGATAGCGCCTGCGAAAACCCATTGCCCGCACTGCCGCGCCAAAAATTGTCCGCGCGTCTCGCCAAGCCGCCTGCTCCTAGCCGTAGCTCACTCCGATAAACGTGGAGGCTCTCTAAAAACGGAATCGAACGCTGCTTGGCACAGAACAGGCCACATCCTTCGATATCAGCACGCTGTGATCGTGGCATCTCTATGCGCTACCTCTGTCCAGAGCCTCACCTTCTAAGCACAATCCTCAAATTGAATTCCCACATCCATCCTCCGCCATTCTGATTGATACTAGCCGTCATCCATCGCACTTTATCAGGAAGGCTTCAAGGCGATTCCATCTCACCGGCTAAAGTTTGGCGGTTCGCTTCTTTTCAGGTACATCTGCGACCATGGAACTTCCGTCTCAAGGTGCTAAAGCAGGCCCTGCGTCCGTACTCCCTCCTTGTATAACAGGCAATATCCTAACCGAGCCGATCTTCTTCCAAGGTGCGCTGTAAAATTTCTTTTTCGCTTCGTCAGGTGCAAAATCCAGTATTCCTGCTGCCGGGTCTGCTTCCAAACAGGCTGCTATACCGGTCCGGGTCTACGTCCCCGCAGTTCTGCTCCTGCATGCCTTTCCCGGCTTACTCCAGCGTGGGTAAGGGGGTGTGGTTCTTCGGTCCCCTTTCCTGTTCATAATTCTATCCTAGCTCGCGGCAATCTCCTCTCCGATCCTTGTTACCTCTGCCCTAAAATCCTGGCTGACTCCTGACGATCTCTTCCATCCCTAGAACCTCCTCTGGGGTGGATACGCCATCGTGAACGGGTTGTCGTCCCCTGTCCGCCTTCTGAAAAGAATGGACGCCGTTCCACACCTCCCCTCCACGCCACGCTGTTGTTCGCGATGAGTCACAGCACTCCGCATGTCCTTGCATGCCTCCACGTCGCTCCATGCGATCTGCGTGGCGTCAGAATTCCCGTATCCTCTTTATAAAGGCTCGTACATATTTTATCCTCTGTTTCTTATCTGTACTGAACACTGGTAGCACCTGGCGTGCTACTCCTTCATGCGCGAAACGATCGCGGACGCACCGCCCCATTTTAACCTGTATGTGCCTCTAGGGTAGACAACTAGCGGTTTCACGACAGAGTTAGTATAACGCGTGCCCAGTTGTGATCAGTGTCCGCTCTTTGTCGAGTATTAAAACAGACGGTGATGAACCGTAGCTGATAACAGGTGAAACAGAAACAGAAAACACCGGTGAGATGCGGTTAACATCGGTATAGAGCGTTATTGGCGGTCCAGTTAACTAGTGTACAAGTTAAATTGATTCCGCCCTGCATCTCGTTATGGCCAGCGGCCTTTCCTATCGATCTCGTGGGAATATCTGATGCGTCCCGCCGGCTTCGAGCTCTTCTCCCATGCCACGTTCGCCTTCGCTTGGCGTGGCTCGCCAACCGTCTCCCAAGTATCCCCCTCGCAGTCGCTCCTACTCTGCCAGACACGCCCGTTCTTCGCAGCCGTTTTATTCCTCTCGCCCGTCGCCTGGTTACACCCTACCTGAAATAGCTGTGCGTCTATCCTCCTCCCTCCTTTCCTTTCCCAGTCCCCTCCCCACCGAGAACCTACCCTGAAATAAACGTCGCTCTTTTCTCTCCGCGCTCCGCCTCTCTCTCCTACTTCGCTTCGTCTCCGTCCTCCGGCTGCCTCCCTCCTTCATTCACTTTTCCTCCTATGTGGACCCTGAGCCTAAAGACTCAGGAACCTATCTCATAAGCTGCGATCTTGCCGAATCCATTAATAACTCAGCCACAGCACCCTCGAAGTGAGAATACAGATATAATCCCCCCCCCCACCTAGGCGTTGCGTCCACCTCGTACCGCCTCTCATCGGCCCGTACGTCGTGGTGACTCATCCCTTAGGAATTCACAAACGCACCCCTCAGTGGCTTTTGAGAATTATCCGAGCTATATCACAGACAACAAATAACTCTCGCACCAAGTGAATATCCCATCCGTTTTCGCCGAGACAGGCGCAGCAGCAGTATGACCCAACATGGCTCTGCCCGTGTTGAGAGATATTTATGTGTAATTCTAATATCTTATCCTTTCCCTAGTCAATATATCGTTATTCTCCCACTATAACGGTGGCACCTTTAAGTCATATGGTCCCGATCTCGTCTATTACTCCTGACTTGATAACACCCCCCAAAGCCTCCACATAGTGTAGGTGTTGTCGTATATGTTGTAGTGTACGGACGTGTGTAAGTGTA